CCCGATCTTTGACCCCTGGAAAATTCTTCCTATACTTTACCATTGCAAAGTTTTCAGGGCTATTTTAAGAGTGCTTCTGCGATTTGGCGCCTGTAAAATGGGGTATGTGTTTCAAACCATCATTATGATTCATTGCATACAACAATCTGTTTTTTAAAAGTACCGGTGAGGAATTTTAGCCTAGTCTATCACAGCTATTTCAACACTAATTTTTATTACTGCAATTAAGTTAAAACTCCTAGGAAGACAGTGTGATCATTGAATTATCAGATTTTTATTTAAATTTCCGAAACACAACTGAAAACTAACGAATAGAGTTTAAAAACGCGAAAACGAGGTAATGTTCACAACCACTCTTGAAAATCTGTCTGAGTGAGAAAAGTGTCTGAGCGGAGGCGAATAGGGGGCATTGTTACGTCACTTTTTGCATCTTGCTGATTGGCCAATGTCACGAAGAAAACAAGGAAGTCGATGCTCGGGGGAAAGGTTCATTGTTTTGATTTTGGTCGTTCAGACAAATTTCATTTATGCAGTTGGAGGATGTGGATATTGTAATAGCTTAGAGAAATACAACATTGCAAAGGATAAATGGGAACTAGTTGAAATACCAGAAGAAATAAATTTATCCATCAGAGGCTCAGTAAAAATTCAAGTTCATGCTAAGCGGTAAGAATACTCTCGCTACCTCACTACTAATTACCCTGCGTGGATTCGCAGTTTCGATCATATATGGGGCTAGTTATGTGCAAGATAATCGATCGCTGGACTTTTTATCAGCATAGGGTGGTTTTACGGCTTCCTCCACCCTCACGTCCATGCTTCCGAAGACAAATAACTGGCTAACTAGTCCCATACCCCACATGGACTGGTAACCGAACGAGTGACCGTGGTTCGCCATATGATTAAGTCGTCTTTTTGGCTTTCCTCTCCCTCAGAATGAGTATGTGAAACTAACCTAATTGAAAACCAGACAAGCTCTCCACTCTCATTTAATAGGGCTTATCAACTTCCAAGGCGAAAATATTAAGTGTGTCCGATCCGATTAAAATTTTGTCATTAAATTCAGTTTTGCTCTTTACCAAGTTTTTCAATTCTAAAACATTTGTTGATATTACATCTCATATCTAAAAAAATAACAATTCAATGCATCTGATACACGAGTTGATTCATGCTTTTATGAAGCTGTGAGGACAGAAATATTTTCTTGGTTCATTTTGAGACATTGTCATTTCCATAAAAATATGTGAAACTGCGCAGAGCTCAAATGAGAGCAGAGTTGTGTAGCAACACATGATAAAATGTTCATTTTTATGCCAATTTTTGAGCCTTTTACGTAATTCATATCAACTTATTATATTATGCAATATTTTAAATTTTGATCAGCATTCTATTATACTGTATTCACTTTGATAAGCGAACCACTGTTTTAAAAGTTCACTGTAATCAAAATACGTTCGATTATTGGTATTCGTGGTTTCCAATATTTTTTAATCAGCACTGTTTTAGAGGTTATTCATTTTTTGTTTGATCCTCCATTTCTAGTCTACTTTGGTACCTCCAGACTCCTACAACTCTGGGGATCTAAAATATAAACAAGGAAATGCCATTGTTACTCCGGCTGTAATATTTCCAAGGCTAATTGAGGCCAAATGATATCAAAGAATTTTCACTGTTATTCAATATCTATTCATAAGTATATAGTTTTTACTGTTGTATCCTTTTTTATAATTCAATTTTTTCTCAAATGCAGTTCAAAATTTCTGTAATTAATTTTTTACTCTCTTGATTCTATCAGTTTTTATTCATTTGTTTTTATCAAATATTTTATAGTCTTTTCTGCTAATTATGGAGTTGAATAAACTTATATTTATCATCGACTTACTTGTTACTGCTTTTTAATGAATTTCACCAGCTTTAGACAAATGTCTGCACATGAGTCGATGATTGGGTTCAGGTTCAAGTGCAGGGTCCTATTTCATAAATATATGACTAAAACCTACGCAATTTGCTTGTCAGATACTGGGTATTTGTGGTGCGTCTGTAAGGCGAGAGACCGGCCATACCGGTAACAGAGCTCTAATCTAGGCATACGGCTCCGATATCACGAGATATCGATGAACGGAGATTAGATAAAGTGCCGGCCATCATTATCTGACATACTGTTTCGTCGATCAATTGCTGTTCATTCAGAATAGAAACTCATTTACAACCAAATTAAGTTAATTGAGAACAAGAGCACAACTTGGCAGAGGCGTAGCCAGAATATATTGCGCCCGGGGCAAGCTATAAAATTGGCGCCCCGACCTCCACGTTTAATCATATTTTCTATTACATTTAATTGTATATGTAAAAACAATTCAAATTTTAATGGAACATTTTACTTAATAATTGTCCAATAATTGTGTTACCGTAATATTTATATAACATGGTGCAAATGTGTCTGTGCTATTCTGTTCATTTATATTTTATACTGAGACCGACTCTGTTATGGCGATCTGTAATGTACTAGATCACAATGTAGCACTGATATTATATATATTTTACACATGTCCTATAAACTCTATCACAATGTGCTTTTAGTGTTGAATCGTGGAACTAAAATATCTGCCGACTCATTCTCCGTCTTTTTTATATTTATATTGTAACAATTAATTCCGACTTCTTAATCAATAACAGTGTTAAATTGGTCAGGAGCCTTGATGACCTTCAACGGTCTTGCATACTGGCTTACACAAAACAATGTGTAAATTGGACTACTTCTATAAAAATCATCGATATTGTTTTATACTATATTTCATTGTTTTCATTATAGTCTAACTCTATAAAAATTATTGATATTATTTAATACTGTTTTTTCATTGTTTGTGGAAATAAATCTCTCTCTTAACGAAGAAGCAAAGCTATACAAAGTATTGCATATGTCCATAATGTCCCACTCAATTATTGTCAAGGATGATTTACATAGTCTACAATAAATTTATTTTTCTTGATTTCACTGTCGCAAACTGGTTAATCACGTCATCAAAATCTGTTTTTTTTTCAATGTTTTTCTTTCAACACTTAGAACAGGGGTCGGCAACCGGGCCAGATCCGGTCCACGGAACAATATAATCCGGCCCGCGACGCTTCACTGAATTATATTAACAAAACAACTGTATTGACGATTATATTCTTTACGTAACAGAATTTGTTTTGAGACACCAAGTTATATTATAATCTAACAAGTATATAATTCACAATCACTCGTTTAAATTGATTATAGATAGACAAAAGGCAACAGAACGTAAAAAAGTTGATGCTGAGTGCAAATGCTTTAATGGCGCAGAAAATGATCAGTTTTTGTGCGCTGCTTGAAATTTAACTGAAATCTGTGTGAAAAAATGTGATTTACTGGCCATTCCCTCGTTTTTTAACTTTCTAAAAATATATGCGGGCCACTGACCCACGAACGACAAAAGTTTGCCGACCCCTGACTTAGAACATCACTGAGACTATCCTGTCCTATTGATGCACGCGATTACGACAAAATAGGTTTAAATTTGTTGAAAGACCGTTCACAGCTTGCAATTGAAACTGGTATTGTTAACATAATTTGTAGAGAAATTCGCATATTCGAGAAAACGTCGTCTCCAAAAGACAATAAAACCAAGAAGAGCCAATGGCTGGTAGACACCAATGCATCAAACTGAGTTGTTGCGATGCCGTTGTGGTCATTATAAATATTAGGCCCAGGGCTCAGTATAAACTACACTTTTTACGAATGCTGTTGCCAGGCGGGAACTGAACAATCCCTTGCCACCAAAAGTAAGGTCTGCGTCGTGGGCTACCTGGAAACGTTTAGCAGCTTACCACGAAATACAAAACCACGTACTACTCAAAACATGTATTACCAACAATTCGCTGTTTAACATCATTAAACTAAATTCCGTTGCCTTTCGTCTCCAGCACAGAACTAATATCAACTTACATCGTAGTGCGCAGGCAAGAACTTATCGATACAGAACCACGTATTTAGCCGAGTGCATTTTATTACCTAACGTTACCAAATCAGTTTTTGCTTTGTTTCCGTGCGCGAGCTATGTGCCTGATGACGTCGGCGGTCGACGTAAGTGGTCTGACCAAGTGTGCAAGTTGGCCATGTACTAAGACTAGATGTCTGCCGCCGGTGCAATCTTGCTTGTGAGATTTATTTTATGTGACCGGTATTTTACCCTTGTTGTGACATTTTTGCAAGTCCCATTTTGGCGCCCCTGTACCTTGGTGCCCGGGGGCATATGTACCCCATTGCCCCCCTAAGCTACGCCTCTGCAAGGCCTGGTACACACAATACGGGAATACGGAAAATGCGCTCAGGGAACAGTTCTATCGTATCGTTATGTCATGAACACAGTAACAGCACCGCATCCAGTAGTCCCACACCAGTATTGCGTGACTGTGGTATTTCACTCATTGTTATATGGAATTAGGGCCGGCCTTATTACATATTTCTATCTCCAAAATATTACCACAATTTGTTACAATATTTTGTGACTTGGGAAAATACATAAAGAAGGTAGAGCTTGCTAAACAATGCGATACTCGGTATATATTTATGCAAGCAGCAGAGTGTAACTCTGAACAAACTTTAAATTGAATTTCAATCGAAATTAAATATATTCTAGAAGTCGGTAGCTGATTTTTTATTCAATCATGGCAGGTCGTACCATAACTTAGTCGCAGGGTTCCATTACATTTGAAGCCATGACAATTGCACCTGCATACTATTGCACTTATGGAAATTTTTTTTGTTTTACGGATATTAGAACCCATACTCACCCTAACCCATGGGTTTTAGCACCCGCATATAGATTGAACCCGCGGATATACGCACGGGTTCAAATGTACGGTCACTGCAGCGCAGATGTGCTGCTGAAAATTTTCACGACTTTCCGATCTGTGTAAATTCGCGTATAATGAACACTTCCATTCAATAAAAAATTGACACCCAGATATTAAATTATATTCGTTTATATTTCCAAGAGAATGCATAATGTGTGATGAAATGACCTTGAAACAATATTTTGGCATGCTGGTCCCCGATTCGTAATAGAACTAATTTAAGAAAAATTGGAATCAAATTATGGCCTAACCCTAACCTGGTACATATACTACGTTCTGGTGTCGCCATCTTGGTTCCCATACTTCGGGAGCACCCTTACTACAATAGTACATCTCGGTTTAAACGATTTCAGTCTTGGATGAGTCCAAATGGTACCAAAGTAGGATAGTTTTTGGGAAATTGAACTAAAAAATTAGATATATATAAAATTAAAATGAATTAAAAATTCAAAATTTTTTTTAAAAAAAAATTTAAACTCTGCTGAAAAGGACAGATCATTCATAAAGAAAACAAACCAGGTTCATCAAGACAACTTTGCTCTTATTTTAAGCTCTACACAGTTTGCACAGGAATTTGGTGGACCATTTTACTTGACAGGACTTTCTGAAAACAACAGGGTTTTATATTTGTGCAAACAAATGAAACAAAGAATGAATTCAGAAATTTTTTAGGATTTATTTGATATCTGAAAAAAAAAAATGCATTAATGTAGGCTACATGAAGAAGAAACTCAATTAATTCACAAAATACACATTTTAAGAACTTTCGATAATACATGACAAACTTTTAGGAGGAACAATTTACAAATGCGATAATTTTGCATTGAAGTTGATAAAGCTTCGAGTACAGAGATCAAGATGAAAAGTTAGATTTTTAATTTGATTTTTACTGAACCCAAAATGTCTAATTCCATTCCTTCTGGTATCTCAACTAGCTCCCATTTATCCTCTGTGATATTATATTTCTCCAAACTACCGCAACTGCCCTCGACTCCCCCGACTGCATAAATAAAACACTGAATTGCAAAAGCATGGAACCCATGTCTAGCAACAAGCATTGGACTTAGAGATTGCCAGTGATTGATAATTGGATTGAAACGCCGAACTGTGTTGGTGGATTCTAAGCAATCTTCATCAACACCACCAAGAATATAAATGCTTTCACCAACTGTAACAAAAGCAGGATATGAATTCACAACAGGCATATCACCAACTATTTTCCAAACATCCGATCCAGCATCATACTGACTGATTATATTTATTAAGTGTCCAGTGAGAAAGCCACCAAAACAATAAATCTTATTTTGAAAAACAGATAATCCTGGTCCTTCTAAAGATTTTGGTCCATCCAACGGTGGTGGCATATTGTTTAGTCGTGTCCATATGTTCGAATTGACATCGTACTTCTCAACAGGAGTAATATAATTATATGAAATTACATCATTACTCCCAATAGCATAAATGTTGTTATTCGAAACAACAGCTGGTGGATAACTTCCATGATGTTCAAGCATATCAGCCATTTTCTCCCAGGTGGCATCTTCATCAAGATAATTGAGCCTGTAAACAGCCTTGTTTTCCATCAAAACATAAATAAAGTCATCAACAGTAACAGCAGAAAAATTTGAACAATCATCCATCATATCCTTATTCATCTCTTGCATTTGAACCCATGAGTTGTTTTCAGGATTATAACAATGAAGGTAGCCAGATTTATAATGGAAAACGACAATGCCTTCTTTGCCCGTATTTTCAGCAATGCTCGATGGCGTAATGTTCATGGAATCCATCACAGACATGCTGAATTTGAAAAGACGAACAGCATTCTCTCTGACAATGTCTTCATTAGCGATAACATGACTCCGATACCCAAGAGACAGTTTGGATAAATCAACCAATCCAATTATATTGTCTGCATACACTTCACGACTTTTGGAATCAAATTTTATCCAGTTGAATACAGCATTGAGCTTCACATCTTCTGAAACTTCAGTTTTTTATTTTTTATTATTTTTACAACTTCCTCTTTACCGAGAAAACAAAAATCATCGATCTTAGAGATTTCTTGAAATTTATCCAAAATGAATTGTTTGCATATTTCCTCAAGATTTGTCAGATCGAACATTTTGGAAACTTTTCTGGTTTCAAATACTGATTCTGAACTCAGATTTGTTTCAAGAAGTTTCACGATTCCGCTACAAACATCATCAAGTTGCATTAATGTGGCAACATGCAATAAATCACCAAGTTTTTCAAATGGAGCCGCAATTTCACAGCTGTACATGTAGTCGACACATTTTTTAACACAAAATGCATCAACTTCTTTCATTTCACATATTCCTGATTGTTTTTCCTTAGTTTCATGCGCAAACATCTTATCAAAATAATCCGAGTTTGCAGACAACACATTCTTATGAGCCAGGATTTCATCAGATCCAACCTTAATTAAAACATCACAACGATCTTTATCTTTTCTCAATCTGTCTAGTCGGTGAAAAATTCTCCATATGCGATTGTTCTTATCACATTTAATCTCAAGCTCCATTTTTAGTTTTGGTGTTCCAAACAACTCGCGCTGGGTAACGGGCGGATACCGGTACATGCAAACCGCGACTTTGGCAAAACTGGTAAATAGTTCCAGCTGACAGTTACCCATTTTTCCAAAATTATACCCGCCATGTTCCCCGTTGTGGAATTTTCTGCAAATACTGATCGGCCACGATGTGAGCATCGTTTGGTTAACCTTTAATTTATTTTCTCATATATTTGATATAATGAACCTATTTTTACGGAAATCGGAGTCACAGAGTCAATTATTTTAATGGCAGAATATTGGACATTGTTTTTCCGACCTTTGACCTTTATTGTTTTAATTTTGGTCGTTCAGACAAACTTTGCAAATATTCAGGCTTGTGTAGGTAGGTACGTACGTTTAACTGTGTGATTTGTGGCAAATCTGCAATCTGGCAATATCGAAACTCAATAATAAAATATGATGATATATAATATATATAAAATGCAGTGCAATATGAGAGCAGTTTTCAAATGCAAAATATTAGGATGCCTGAGTTTGATGAGCAGTGAATGCAGAAATGATATGGTATTATGCAACACCAACGCATTGACGAGGTTTTGAATACATCCATCATGTCATAGTATCAATTTTCCAACACAGTCAACAAGACGGATACTCTGCAATCACTCGCTAACTCATGACATTCTGGTAACAGGTTTCATTGTGTACCATATTACTAATTTTGTGTAAAATGTCTAGTTTTTCATGTAACAAAAAAAAAAGTTACATAGACTGAAAATGTAGAGAACACCTCATGGCATGGTAGGTGTTTTTCTGATTATTTGTCTAATTCTTCAAAAATTTTTTTTTTTTTATATTAAATGCTAATAATGGATAAATTTAAAATATATGTTGTATGGTATAACATTTACAATGGTCACTGGATTACATGGATACATATTTTTCCATTTCATGGATGTGGAGACAATTTAAATCGGATTTTTGGACTAATATGGGTAAATGTATCTGGTTTGTTTTATATTTTTCAATATTTATCTATGTATTGTATATAGGGCTGGGAATTTCAGGGAAAACACTTTAACCGTTAACCGGGTAAAATTAACCGGTTAACCGCCGCGTGACGTTTGACGTAATAATTATAATTTCAGCTTGTTACGTCACAATGGTTATAAAGCAATTTCGCGTTTCCTTATCCCGGTATCGCTCAAAATTATTCACGAATCGAGATAGTTCCATGATTCCTCGGCTGCAAGAGATAGGCTCGGGCATGTGAAAATATTTTAGAAAACCCGATTCCGTTGTTAAACGTCATTTATGTGACAAATTCTACTTCGAGATATACAGTATAGGCCTCATAAGGAAAAACGGCATCTACTGCACACTTGTTGTATGACATTGAATATCCGATTTTGCAATGAAATCATGAACAATATATTTCGAAATCGACCGAAAACTGATTCTGAATTTATCATTGTAAATTTTCATTATCAGCAACCTCGCTACTTCCATTATTTTCCACATTTATTGATTCCTTACCCACACAGTTAGTAATATTTTTTTGAATTAAACGCCGCAAGAGATAAATTTGCGTTGACGTAATCATATTTGACGATATTGTACGGTATGAAGATGATTTGTACCTGAGATGTCAGTTAACGGTTAAAATAAATCATATCCGTTAACCATCTGAAATTGGTTGACCGGTAAACCATTCCCAGCACTAAACTTGTATACTTATATGCACTATAATATCACCTAGATTATCTGGAAAATTGGGAATCATTGGGATAATGTAACTAAATTAAAATAATATATTTAGATAAACCTAAACTAACATTTTCATAAATCCGAATTGGCAATGGATTTGAATTTGGCAAAAAAAAAAAGTTGCTCGTTTTAAAGGTCTTCAAATGGTATTTCACTAGTGATGGCAGTATTTTCGTGCTTCTAAACTTTTGCAACGGTACGACTTAACCGGAATACCGGTAGGTGCTCGCCACTAATACAGTCTAGTAATACTGTAATAATTAGTTCAGAAGATCCAATGTGCTGCAAAGACACACAAATAGGTTCGAAGTTCACGATGCAAACGAAGAGACTTTATTAAAATAGTGTAAAATCCACGCTTAAAGCAGATATAATAAGAGCGACAAAATACGGTCCTTACTCAGCGACAGCAAAAGAAAAGAAGAGCGAAGGCTGCGAATTGCAGCCAGTTCACATATGCAGTGGGGGTTGGAGTCGAGTAACTGAATACAACTACTGGGCGAATTAGGGCTCAGTCTCCTCACACCAATGCATATGCAATAACCAGACAAGAAATATAAATAAAATAATGAACAACAAAAAATAATACTCCAGTCCCTCCACAATACCCCCCTTTTCATTAGAGAAAATTCACAAAAAATTTACTCTCAAAAAATAAAAACATCCCCGAAGAAAGGTATTAAACACAGTAAGAATGCAAAACTTGTAAAAACACAATGTGTATGTCCATCGGCAGGTATTAGCAAAATATGAAACACAGTGGAACGAAATATCAAACAGTAGAAAGCACTCCTGAAAGTATGACAAATACAAAGCATACTATTTACAAAATACACAATAAAAATACAAAAAATTCCCAACTACAAAATCAAATAAACCCTATCTAAAAACACTAACTAGTCCTACCTAAATATATACATTATAGCACAACTCCCATCGTAATTCAAAACAAAATGTTACAAAACCATAAATTAGGTATGAAAATCATCCAAGTAGGCAGGTTACGCCTTGTCCTACCAGAACGAGTAACAACCTGATTTTCGTCAGACCCCCCTACAGGCAAATCTAAATTAACTTCTGGTTCAACTCCAACAGGAATAACAACATCCTGTACATCATCATTGGAAATAGCAATATTGTCTCGGAAATCGGCATTAATATTAGGTAAATTGTCACAATCTTCCATCAAATATAAACGAAGATGATCAACATGAGCTATTCTACAATTACCAGTGTTAACATTCTTAATACGATAAACAAAATGAGAAAAACAATCTAACACTTCAAAAGGTCCTATCCAACCAGTTTTCCAGAAAGTTTTCTACTCTTAGGAGGATAAAAATACCACACAAGATCTCCAACATTAAAAGATAAAGGCTTAACAGTTGCATTAAAATTACGTTTCTGTCGAACAGCAGATTTACCTAACTGTTCTCTAGCAAATTCAAAAGCTTCAGATGTAGCATTATCAAACCATTCAACAAATTCATCATAACACTTAGGGACATTATGATCAGGAGGTTTACCAAAAAGTAAATCAGTCGGCAATGAAATTTCACGGCCTAACATTAAACGATTTGGAGTAAAACCTGTACTTTCATGTACAGTAGATCTATAAGCCATTAAAAGATAAGGAATGTGTTCATCCCAGTCTGTGCGACTAGAATTCACAAATGCTTAAAGCATTTGCTGCAAGGTCTTATTCATTCTTTCACATAGACCAGTGGTCGGCAACCAAAGGGACGCGGCCCATCGCCGGTCCGCGGAAAGGTTACTGCCGGTCCGCAGAGAGGTGACACAAAAACGGACAATGCCTTAATAAAACCTCTACAATCTAACCACAAACCCTACGACTAAAAAACAGCAACCAACAGTAAACCAGACAAACACAACACCAGGGGTCGGAAAAAATGCGGCCCGCGAACTAATTTGTTGCGGCCCTTGAACGACCCGACATTTAATAAATAAAACAAAAATGAATCCCAAATTTATTATTGTTTCTACACGGATTTATGTGGTGACAAGTGCTGCTGTACGGAGCTTCTTATGTAACAAGTAGCGTCAGTTGTATGTCGTTCGAGTTAATTTTGATTTTTAAAATGTCTGGAAAACGGAGCGACGCGGGTCGAGCATTCCATAGTGCTTGAACGGAAATTTTTTTTTTTTTTGCGCATTCCAAACCGGTTTGCTCGATGTGCCTAGTCAGTATCGCAGTTGTTAAGGGTTTCAATGTTAATTGAACTCGTTACGAAACGAGTCGTCGAAAATTCGACCACGAGACCCGGGACTGCGCCACAGCTCATCTGTGCGACTTTGCAAAACGTGTAATGTGCACGTTCGGAAGAACTTATGGCCTTAACCTTAAGCAGCTTTATCTAAAATGCATTACACTTAGATTAAATTTCGTACTCGCCTGTCAGATCATCATTTGGACGACGTGTTGCCATAATAACATCATCTTTCACATTGATAATAAGTACATAAAAACAATGTATTGTTGGATAATAATAAAACGCCACATATACATCTCATTGGGGCAGGCTTTTAACACAGCAATAGAAGGGTAGCAATGCGAATGCGCCATAATTTGAAGTTTAATTATGGTAGCGATTGTTCGAAGGCGGAAATATTGCGGCCCGCGCGCTACCGGAGATGTCTATATTTGGCCCGCAAGTACATGAAGTTTGCCGACCACTGCATAACACTATTGAGCTACCCACTGCAACGCAAAAAGTTCTCGATACGTTGCACAATATCTCTTCTGTGCCTTGTTAAGGGTAACGCTGGCATACGCAATGACTTCTTCCTCGTCATTCTGAATTAGACCTAAAACTGCGCCAGCTCCAAAACCAGAACAATCAGTATCTAATATGAATTCGTCTCCGTCTTCCTGTGGAAATGATAAAACAGGAGCACGAACTAAAAGTTCTTTCAAGCGAAGAAAAGCGACATCACACAGCTTTGTCCATGCAAATTCTACTTTCTTCTTCGTCAGATGAACAAGAGGATGTGCAATGGTGGAAAAATCTTCAACAAATTGTCTGTAATAATTACAAAATCCAAAAAATGACTGCAATTCTTTGACATTAGCAGGCTTGGGCCAATCACGAACAGCAGCAATTTTTCCATCGCTACAGCTTACACCATATTCAGATATTACATGTCCCAAATATTCCACTTTACGACGAAAATGGTTACACGTCTCCGGCTTGAATTTAAGTCCAGCAACACGAATTCTTACAAAAACTTCACGTGAGCTGCTCATTGGCCAGACCGAAGGCAAAAACACGGAATTGAATATGATTATTTCCTGGCAAGCTGAATGCTGTTTTTTCCCGATCTTCTGGGTCGAGTTTTACTTGCCAGTACCCACTCGCCAAGTACAACGATGAAAACCACTTTGCTTTACCCAATGCATCCAAAATATCATCAATTCTTGGCAAACTGTAGGCATCTTTGATGGTTACCAGATTAATTTTCCGGAAATCGATACAAAAACGACAACTTCAACGAGAACAATAGACGAATTATAGGGACTTTCACTCGGTTCTATTACACCTTGATCAAGCATGCTCTGTACTTGTTTCTCTGCGATTTCTCTCTTCGCCCATCCCATACGTCGCGGTGGAACTTTGATTGGTTCAGATGTTGATGTTTTAATCTTATGTTTGACTATAGAAGTTCGTCCCAGTTTGCCATCAGGACCAGCAAAAACATCCTGAAATTCGACAAGCAAATCACGAACACTTTGACGTTGTTCAACCGTTACATCTTCTGGATCGTCGACGAGCTTCTTTAAATGTTCAGGTAGTTCCCTGGTGTTCATGACATCACCAGGCCCCACTTGTTCCAGAGAAGAGACAGTCAGGTTTTCTCTTGGGCATAGTAAACCGATAAGCAAATCCGCAGGTATTTCTACCACTTCCTTGCTAACATTGACCACCATGAGAGGCACTAAAGGGCATGAGGCGTTCACCACTCCGGGAAATAAAAATAAACCATGATGGCCATACTCGCTCTCAAACACACACGCAGCCTCTGCCACAGGTATGACGTCACTATTGGGTTTCCATGGGCAATTCAAACGACCATAAATCACCATCTCTGGGAACAGTCACACATTTATCTACAACAATTCTACAACTAGGAACCGACGAAACAGGCTTAGTCAGGGAAGCAGTTTTACCATCAACTTCCATTTGACCTACAGACATATGCAAAACACAGTCATGCTCTTGGAAATAATCCATTTCAAGCAAACCATAGGGGGCACCAAGATCAGCAACAATTACTCTCTGAACAGCAAACACAGAATCAATACAAATTTTCAAATCAATCATACCACGAGCTTTCAGAGAAGTTCCATTAGCAGTTTAAAAACAAACATTACAAGGAGACAAATCACACTCCTTTTCACCAATAGAACAAAAAACTGCATAATCTATAAGCGTAGCAGCACTACCAAAGTCAATAAGAAAACGTACAGTAATGCCATTCACATCAACCATAGCATACCAGCTAGTGGGTAATCTCAAAGAACAAATCAAATTATCAAAGTCTTGGTCCATGCATCAATTCGACATTTTTCCAGTAGCAGCTGAGGACCCCCGTGCTACTGATTTCTGTTTAAAGGCATATCATTATTCTTGGGAGCAGGGTGAAACTGGGGAATATTACCACCATCACGAGTTTGACCATTCCCACCCCAGACAGAATTGGAGCTATTCCCTTGAGAAAAATTTCCTACATGGCCACTGGCCGTTTGCTGGGCCGAATAAGCAGAAGGCTGCGAATTCTGTGGAACATAATATCGATCACACTGAGAAGCTATATGACCTCTGCCATGACATCTCTGGCACTGATTCTCAGGGCAATTCCTACATATGTGACCCTCGGCACCACAACCATAGCAAGTAATACCTTCATTCCTACGACCACCCTTCTGACGGGAAAATCGGGGTCGGTGACCCTCGTCTAACATTACACGAAATTGGTCAAGTATCTCTTTAAAATCATTCCTCAGCTTACTAAATTCAGATTCACACCCACCATCATCACATTCAGAATTATTCACAACAGCTACCATTGGCTTACTAGCACGATTACACCGTGCACTGTGCGTAGCATCAATAGAATAACATACATCAGCCACCGTAATTAATTCATCCAAACTCTGAGTCTGCCTGATGGTCAAAGTCTTACACATCTCGAAATCAGGAAAACCTGAAATGAAACGCTGCTTAATCAGATTCTCACGAGCAATAACATCCAAAGAAGGATAAGCCTTCCTCGACAATGCACGAAGAGAAGTAGCATATTCCGTTGGCGTCTCAGTGGCTAACTTCTTCCAGTTATTAAACAGAGTAGCAAAGTAGGATTCCTTACCCTCTGAATAATAACGTTTTTTCAAGTGATTCACTGCAACACTCAAACTGTGCCTATCGGGAAGGGATAATTCATTCAACAAGGACAAAGCCTTCCCACGCATACATGCAGCAAAATGAACACCGGCAATTTTATCAGTCCATCCATTACAGGTACTAATGGATGAAAAATGACACAAAAAATCATTCAAAGACATACCATCCCCATCAAAAGTGTCACTCCACTCTCATACTATTATTCATACCAAAAGGAAGATTGCCTTGCAATCAGTAACGCTACCATTCACACTTGCATGCATAGGTGTAGACTGGTCAACCACACACTCATCAGCAAAATTCAATTTTTTTAATAGTACCGGTACCATTCATCAAACATTCATTATCAGGGCAGTCTGGTTCACCATTCCTATCAACACTCTTAGGCACCTCAGGGGTTTTTAAAATAGGTTTAGGAATGAATGATGACAACTCACCCTCAGCCATGGCCTCGTCAATGCTCTCCAGACGGCATAATACCCGTTCGAGTACTACCTTCATGCCAACATAGCTTTCTTCAGGTTGTGCAACACTAGCACAGACTATTTTCAGTTGTCTAGCCAGTTCTTTATTTTCAGCCTCTAGTACTTTATTCTTATCTCCAATTTCTTTATTTGCCACTAGTATGTCTTTATTCATGTTTTTAATTTCTTTGTTTTCGGTTTCCATCTGGGCAATTTTATTCCATATTACATCTCGTTCCTGGTCGCAATTCTTTCTTCGGTGTGACATCATGAACTTTTAATCAAAAAGTCGTCTGATTTTTCAATTCTGGCGCTAGCTCGTCAATTTGCAACGGTACGGCTTAACCGGAATACCGATAGGTGCTCGCCACTAATACAGTTTAGTAATACTGTAATAATTAGTTCAGAAGATCCAATGTGCTGCAAAGACACACAAATAGGTTCGAAGTTCACGATGCAAACAAAGAGACTTTATTAAAATAGTGTAAAATCCACGCTTAACCCTTTCCATGCGATTTTTATTTTTTATTAAATAATCGTATTTGCTACGCCGACTTTATGCATTTGTACCCCCACAACTAATCGATCGACTAACGAAAAAGTAATGATCCTCTGCTGCCCACTGACGGCTCGTTGGAAAGCTTATTTAAAGAGCTTGCAATTGGCGATTGAAAATTTTTTTTTTTTCAGAAGGGGTGGTCTGAGTCACAAACAGGATAGAAAAAAGACATTTTTTTTCTTGGGTGTTGAAACTTCAAGCCGTGATAAAAAATAGAAATATTCGCTAAATCCTTTACTGTTACCGCTTCTTGGTTGGCAAACAATAGCATAATATTACTGTAGCAATTTCGTTATCTAACTCAAAATACTTTGGTAGATGGAAGGGATAATATGTCTTCTATTACCACCCAAAAAACACCGAAATTTGCATAAATCAAAAACACTCCCTCGTTCCGCCGCAAATAAAACTCCCATGGTAAACGAAAGCGAGATTTACCGTCGCTTATGTTAATCTCGAAGAAGGCTTCTTATCAATAAACTAAAACCCGGAAAAACTAGACCAACAGTTTGCGACCGATTGCTAAATAAAACAGTGGAGTACATCAACGTACCCGCCGCAAACTAGCGAGTTTTGTCGTGGGTACGTATACGTGCCCACCGCACGGAAAGGGTTAAAGCAGATAAAATAAGAGCGACAAAATACGGTTCTTACTCAGCGACAGCAAAAGCAAAGAAGAGCGAAGGCTGCGAACTGCAGCCAGTTCACATATGCAGTGGTGGTTGGAGTCGAGTAACTGAATACAACTATTGGGCGAATTAGGGCTCAGACTTCACACACCAATGCATATGCAATAACCAGACAAGAAATATAAATAAAATAATAAAAAATAATACAACTCCAGTCCCGCCACACTTTAAACATATTGTCAAGTGATCTATTATTAACGTTATTCTGCCGTCACATTGCCGTTACCAGATCTAATTTAGTTCCAAAAGCCTATTCAACATACAAAAATTGGGGTACTCAAAGATGACTTTTCTATGACTTGGTTTTCCAAGAACTTTTCTTCCTATCAGCTGGAGAAGAATACAAAACTTTCCATTGAAAGGTGATATTTAAACTTGTATGGTTGAAGAATATCAGAGTGTGGTGATAGGACTGGGAGACTTGCGTGACTATGACATCCCGGGGTTCATTCCGGTACAGCCATAGACTCAAGTTAGGACTGAATTGGTGGGTTTAGCATGAAAACAAAGAAATTGCAGGGGCAGTTTAAAAAGTCTTTTATATACATTTTTTGGAAACATTGCACAAACTACAGCAATCGGTAATTATGAACAGATGAGTATTTTCTTTAGATACGTTCATGATGGTTCAGTCATCAATCTTGGTTCAGTTATCAGTAATTTATTTTTTCACCAAACAGAAAAAAACACTTCATGCAAATAAATATAATAAAGGAATTTAAATACGGCATTTCAGGGCGAAAAGAATCGCGAGAAACCAAAACTGGTTTAAGAGCAGCGACACCCGTGAATTAGTCTAACAGAAATATAAACAGAAGAGAGAAAGAAGTCAAACATTATATCATGAGGGGAAAAGACAGCAAAAGTCAAACCAAATACGTACAACACTAGACTCCGAGCACCGTCAGTAATGTAACCATGGGAACGACATTTCAAAGATATGGCCGCACAGAGTACGGTGCCGGTAACCAAGGACATTGCTTAGTTCTCCTTCAAATAGAGAATCAACGCTAGAGCTCGAAGCCAAGTGCTATAGATCAGTTCAGGAGTCTTTGCCACCACATCATCTTCGAGTAGTGGTGTCGCTGGATAGTCAACAAGTCTCTGATGCAATTTCTACATGCAAGGCAGGGGGGCACATAAGCTTGTCGTATCATAGAAAAAACAGATTTATAAGCTCAACAGGTTTATTGAGGTATTATTATCGATTACAATTACATACAACAGAAGATTACAAGACCAATAATGTTATAGTGATGAACAGTGTTAACTCTAAGGAAATATGAGTGCGAAAGTGCTATTGCCGATTTTAACAAGTTTAGTGCCGTAGCTTTTGTTATATCTCCTTTCAAAATGCTTAAATACTGGGAAAAGCGCTCCCTCCGTGAATATCACGAATTAAAAGGAGTCTTTCTGTTAACGCAGTTTTTTTAAAATCTTGATTAAAACAAGGTATTCATCGATAACGAAAGACACCTGCTAAGCACACCTGTCGCGATTCGTTTGAATCCTTGTTCAAAACAAGCGAATTCATCGCTAACGAAAGAACACCTGCATAGCACATGAAGACTGTGCATAAAAGGATTTGCAAACGGAGCCAGAATCAATCGGATAATTATTAATTTTTTATTTTAAAAAGTAACGACGGTATTTTTCTCAAATCATAACATACATTTTGCATTAGTGGCGCACCAAAGATCCCGGGGCCTACCCTCGTTTTCAACGAAAGCAAGTTACAATACTTCGATATCAAGTAACAAAATTGCACACATTTGTTTTATTCACAAATAAAAATACAAAAACGAACGAATAAAAAAACTGAGAACGATGTAGCATAATTTATATTTTAAATGAATAATGCCGATTCCTCATCGTCGGCCATCTCTTCCTTAATTACGAAGGATGGCGTGGCTTCTGCAGCACGTTTGTTCGTAGCTTGGAATCTTTCCAATGTTGCATGACATCCATGAAGAATGATTCCGCTTTGTCTGTTTTTATGGATGTCTCCCTGCCACATCTCAGAAGCATTGTTAGGTGTCTGCTGCCAAGCCTATTCCCACAAAAGTGATATTTATCAATACCAATCAAATATATAATATAGTCATATTGTCTAAATCAGTAAAAAGTTTTCTCAAATTCTCATACTTTTAAAATTGTTAAGTTAATTTTCACCTGTGTTTCGTCTTAATTATGTTCGTTGAAGAAAATCCTCGTTCGGCCCCCGAGGTACCAGCTGCGAAGACTTTCGCCAAGCGGGAATTTTATGAGTTATGATTTTGTCTGAATGGAATTACGTACTTTCAACAAGCAATATGAGCAACAAACAGCTTTGTGAAATCGTCGATGAAGCGAATTCACAAGGTTTTTCACCTACGAAGAATAATAAAAATCGTTTTCATATGATAGTAATTGCTAACGCATTATTGTACCTCGATCTTATTTTATTGCTATTAAATTTTTATATCGATAACGACTAACGAGCATAAACACGAACTTGCAAATTTCTTAGCTTTTACTTCAGCACGTTCGATTATAACGGTCAGAGATTCCCATGTTTCGTCCCTGGAACGAGAGCTTCTACCAATTGGTTCAAATTGAAGCGTTCCGTGTTGGTAAATTAGCAATGCCCCCGCCATATGTCTTCCCCAGGATATTTTTCCGGGCGCTTTAGTCAGGTATGTCGATTCAAAAACAGTGCAGATCTAAATTTGACCAATCATTTTCTGACTTGTGATATGTAAATATATATATTGTGCCATTCGAATATTTCTAATTAAAACTATTAAAGTACTTAAACCGATCGTACCATATTCACTTTAGCTTGCGCTCTGTGCGGGCTTACAAAATCTGCCTGGAGCATTTTACCGATGGGATCAAGCAGGTCGAATACGTCGCGAATAAAGTGCATCAATAAGGAATTCCTGAAATAAAATTATTATACAGTCTTGGGTTTAAACTGTATTAATCTGTGTAAAAAAGGTTGTGTTTACTCTTGATTCGCGAGATACGAACTTATTAAAGAAGCGGTAGGTTCTTGTCTCTGGACATTTCTTTCTTCAAGATACGTATGCAATGATTTATAAGTGGCGCATGTGGCTTTGACTGCGGCACCGCAAGATTGCCATCTTGTTTTGGCAATCGCAGTCATGCGCACACCTTTTTTTTTGTGTAATTGCAAATGCAATGCATTGCTCCAGTCCGGATCTGCAAACAAGGGCCCTGGTAAAATGAGACAGTTACTTAAATTTAAAGGACATTCAAATGGTAATTGTTGCGTGTCATTTTACATTTGGCCGCCAACTTACTTGCAAAAATAAGAATAAATCAAATTCATCAGATGGTCCAATTGTTGCATTGCATCATCCTCAGCGTAAGCATCTTTAACGGCCAATGCCAAACGGTGTGCCACACAATGCTGCTGAACTAGCGATATTGCACAACAGACACATACAACTCTGAGAATCTGTGAAGCATTCAAATTAATAAAAAACAATTCCATTGCTACTCCGAGGCTAATTGAGACCAAATGATTTCAAAGTAGACTAGACCAACCCAGATATAATATATAGTGGTTCACTGTATCATGTCCATATTCCATTGTGATACTAAAAAATAGGTCCTGCGAATGTATGATCCATATTATTATTCATCCAATGCAACATCTGTTTCATCATTCAGCATTTTGGATTGTGAATATCAATATTTCAGAGGCTAAATGATACCGAAGGTGGACTAGACCTAATTTCCACTGTTCTTCAATATCAATTCATAGGTACAGTTTTTTTACTGTTTTATTCTCTTTATGATTCAAATGCAGTCAAAGATTCTGTAATTGATTTTTTCCTAATTGATTCTTCTTTTCGAATAAACTTGGAAAACTTTAGCAAATTTCAACTACATATCACAACATACAGTATTAGCATGTGAGCCTTCTGGTTGAAAAAATCCTGCGTGGAAATATGGCTTCCCAACATGGATTTTCATGATAATGGGTTCTGGGTAGGCCTACTAATGGCATTCAAACATTTGAGACCGTCTAGTAGACTACATATGCTGACTGG